TTCACATATCCTCACAAAGTGTTTTGAGAGAAATTCTTTCTGTTTTGCCATGTCCCTTGATGCCAGAATTGAAAATGGCTTTATTCAAATCAGTAAAAGTATTAAGATTTTACTGTGAAGGTATAAGGAGGTGGATTTTTCCTGCTGGCTAAGCCAAGGATCTCTCTCTTCAGGACTTGCCAGGCTGTGAAGACAAAAAGGCATATTAGGAAAATACATGAAAAATTATTACAGATTGATTGCAGGCTGAGTCTGAAACCTGAAAAAACCAGCTTAAAATCCCACTGCAGGATCTGAGGACTTTCAAAAAATTTGGGTGATCAGGGCATGGAGGAGAGATTGAGATTCTCTCTGATTAATTTACTCACCTGAGGGTCTGCATCAGTGGCTCAGGGTAGTTGGTGGTCTGTCACTAGTGGTGTCCCCTGGAGCTCAATACCGAGTCCTGTGCTGTTTAACTTGTTCATTAATGACTTGAATGAGGCAAGCAAGTTTGCTGACAGTACACAGCTGGGAGGAGTGGCTGATACCCTGGAGTGCTGTGCAGCCCTTTGGAAGGACCTCAACATGCTGAAGCAATGAGCAGAGAAGAACTGTCTGAAATTCAACAAAGGCAAATGGAGGGTCCTGCACTGGGGAAGAACAACCCCATGCACCAGCAGAGGCTGGAGGCTGATCTGGTGGGAAACAGCTCTGGGGAGAAGGATCTGGGGGTTCTGGTGGACTCCAAGCTGTCTGTGAGCCAGCAGTGTGCCTTTCCTTGTGGCCTATTGCGTGGGTGACCGAGCACTGGAACAGATTGCCCATAGAGATTGTGGTGTGTCCCTCACTGGAGCTACTCATGCCCTCTGGATTAATCCTGTGCAATGTGCTCTGAGATTATGCTGCTTGAGCAGGGAGGTTGGACCAGATGACCCACTGTGGTCCCTTCCAGCCTCATTCTATGCTTCTGTGGTATGTATTGCAAGTTTAAATTAGGAGCCTTGGCTTTCTATATAGTCATGAGAGCACAAAGCACCTTCTGAAGAAGGCAGATAGCCCAAGAAAGCCCAAGATGGGATTAAATGGAGCTGATGTGGACTAGAAACTGGAACAGGAAAGTGTTAACTCAAGTGTTCAAAATAAATTTTACGGTTAGGTGGGCAAATAGCTCCTTTCCACTGTGATATTTACATGTAATGTCACAAAGTTCAGCCTGGAGGATGTCTAGGAATGTGATCCTTCTGCAATTATTTGCCAGCTTTGGTAGAGCATGCATTGAATTGCTGTGCCATTACACATAGCACACAATAGTAAAACTTCAAAGGAAAATGACCATCTATTTCCCCAAGGAAGCAAGCTAATAATATCAGTATCATTGATATTATTGGTATCAGTAATGGTATCAGGACATTTCTCTGGGATGTCAGACTAAAATAACTTATTCCCTCTAATAATAAGTTATATTCAAGCTGGGGAAGCTGTGTGTAAGGTAGGTCATGGACAATCTGAGTACATTGTTTTGCAGTTGAAGAATGAAAATCACAGTTAAGACAAGGATTTCAAATAAGGATTCTGAAATTTTATGGTTCAGTTTTGGGTGCTCATCTTCACAGAGTACAGTGCCAGATTTTCAGGACTATTGATCAAGTCCATTTTTAACAGCAGAAGTTAAAAATATTCCCCCAAAAATGCAGTGGCCATTTTATCAGCTGAAATTGGTTGCATCTGAAACTGGAATTGACCTGTGTAAACCAAGCCCACAGGCTTTTTTTTTTTTTTTTTTTTTTTTAAGTGAGATGCTGAGACAGAGTAATTAAAATCAGTGAAAAAAAAAATCTCTTTTGCTCAGTGGCAGAGCTGTTTTCTCTAGAAATACTAAAGATAAATGTTTGAACAAGCAATTCCACAGTAAACCAGACTCAGATCTCCTGGATATCTATCCCTTGTGACTTTATGAAAGTATATTTAATTTACTCTTCAAACGAGAAAACTCTTTCAAGATAGTCTAGGAAATTGAATCTTGCATCCCTATTTTCCAAATTCAGTCTTTCAATAGTTCTACATTAAGCTGTCAAAGTACCAACATATGTGATAGGTCTCCATTGAAATAAAAGGTTTTAATCTTCTCCACAAAGCCAATGAAAATATTCCCTAGGTTATTCTGTAATGATAGATAATTTAGAATAAAACCAGATGAGTTTACTATGGAAGATACTATTTAGGAAAGAACAAGAGCTGACTCTTAGGGGAGTATACCAGCACCAATTTCAAGAGTTGCATGTAGGATGCCAAACTGAAGGAGTCTTAGCTCTCATTTTCTGAATTACCATTAGGACTTGAAGATGGATGATGAATTTTAGGACCAGGACACCACATTTTATGCAATGGAGTTATGAGGCAAGAGCCAGTTTTGTTTTCTCTCTTTTGGAAGCAGAATCATATTGAAAATTCCTCCTTGATAAGCAGTTAGCAAACCAAAAGAGTATATTTTGTTTCTACATGATTTTTTTTACAATTATTACAGTAGAAGTTACAAAACCTCTACTGTGAACTGACATCTTTTTCAAAAGCATTAAAATTTTCATACAAATTATCTCAAGATCAAGCCACTTCCATTCGGAATCACCTCTGAGTGGCAGAGTCTCTTGATGGATGGGAGTTATACACTTTCTGATTCTAAAGAACTAAGGTAAATTTATGTCCTTCAGTTTTCTCTGTCTAATTAATATTTCATTTATTCTGTCACAGACATCCTTTCCTTACTACTGGGTGCAATATACATTTCCAGATTTCTGGCCCCTTAGAAGTAGAGGGCAAATGGGATATAGATTCAGCTTTTGAGGAAATCATGCAAAGTGTGAGATACTAAAATAAATTTTTGAAATCCCTCTAATTCAGAAGTATTGCATTGGAGAAGAATCTTAATGAGAAAATGTTTTTGAGGTAATGAGAGACACAAGAAGAAGCACAGTTCCCTGTTTTCCTTGCTTCTCTCTTTTTGATTACTTGGGCTGTGAAATCGTTTGACAGTTAGGAATCAATTCCAATGGATTAAAGTAAATTCTGCTTCTGCCTTGCCTTCACTCCAAGGTTAAAGGGATAATAGGACACTTGTTTTCACTATCCCATCTGTAGCCCAGATCTACAGATGATCTCCTGTTGGGGATGTGTGAGGATCAGTGCTAGATGGAAGCAACTTGCATGTTTTTTTTCAATCTTCTAGCAGTAAATATTAAATCCTTGACAATTTCAAATTTAAAGATTTAAGAGATAAAAGTTCAACTAAACTAAATCAGAGGCTTCTGTCTAGAAAACTGAATACATGCAGCAGTTACAGAATCAGGCTCTGTTCCTGGGAAAATAATGACACAGGAAAAGACATGGGTTTAGATCTGAAAAACAATGTGACATGAGACTACCAGAACACTCCTATAGGGAAAATAAAACCAAACAGAAAAAATGCTCCATCCCCAGGAATTTAAGAAAGAGTAACAAGTAGGATTAAAGAGGGATTTACTCTGTACACAGTGTAGAGAGAGCCATTACTAGAATATTGAGTCTAGCCAAAGTGTCTACATTTTAAGGAGAGCATTGAAAAGATAATTGAAGTGCTAGAGAAAAATGTTATACCATGGGCCTTAAGAGGTTTTCCTAAAGGAGTGACTTGATTGCAGCATGTAAGTGAGAAGAAAATGCCTGGTAGTAAATAGTTCTTTAATCTAGTGGAGGAAAACATAATGATTCAGAAAGTATAAACTAAAGCTGGGAGAAAAAAAAAATCTAATTAAATAACATATAAACAGAAGGTCTGAGCAGTTACAAAACTTAACCAAGAGCAGTGGTAGATTCTCTGTTCCTTGATGCCTCAAAAACAGAACTATATTCCTTCCTTTAGCAAAATGTAATTTACTTAAAAGAGAGTCTGTTGGGATCCATCCCTGGCCAGCTAAATATAAAACCAGAAGATGCAAGGTTTATTTGCTTAACTGGAAACTAAACCCTAGGAACACCAGAACAAGCAAGCCTCAGTCAAAAGTCCTGTTTTGGTAAAAACAAAAAGCAGTTGTCACATGTTTTATCTCGAAATCCCTGGATGTTTTCTTAAACAGTAATGAAAAATAATAAATCTCTAAAGGGCTAAATAATCTAGAGATGTTTCCAGTTCCCAGAGTCAGAGCTTTCTGGTTGTAGCAAACATGATGAAACACGACTGCTTTGAATTAGTTGATTTCATATTCTACTGAGCTCCATCCACTGCAATTAAGAAAACTCAGTTGAATTACTGGTCCAGCATTGTTTCTAACTTCTGGTTGGGGTAAATCACTGGTATCCAGTGCGTGATAATTCTTAACAGCGTGCCCTCTGTTGAGTAATGGGCATAGATCTAGTTGCTCCAAAAGCTTTCATTGCACTTCCCATTCTCTATACTTAATTCATATTCTCATGCTCCAGTGGATCATCAAGCCATTTTCTTGAGAGATTTGCAGTACTTTCCTTTTTTTTTGCAAGTGGTTCATCTCTAACATTTAACATCTCTAACAAGTGGTAATAATTTCCTTCTAGCTTCAGCTTGTATCATGAAGAAAAAATAGAGATATGTAATTTTAAAGCTAAAGTAAACAAACAAACTGAATAAGGAAAATACTCTAAAATGTTCTCATTTATCACATTCTAAAGAAAAGTGAGTTGTCTGCCCCGGGATGTGGTGTTTTACCCTGAGGACTATTCAGCTATTCCTATTGCAATTTATATGTTCCTTGATCTGATTACTGATGCATTTGACTTTGAACAAGACTATTGCTATACTTTTCATGGAAGACACTGGAGTTTTGTAACTGGATTTTCAGCTTGCCTCTACTTGTATGAAACTCTCTTTCTGTAGCAGCACTTTGCCTGCTTCTCTAACCTCAGAACTGGAACCACTCAGCACACCTTCAAGATGTGCCTGTGCTGTTCTAGTGCTCCTGACAAACCAGGCCAGCTGGCTAATTAAATAAGGATGAGACACTTGGTGATGTGCACCTGGAAATCATTAGATGCCTGGAGGTTACATGTTCATGAGCCCTCCCTTGAAATTTAGACATTATCTGTTGTGTGTTTCCTTTGAGTATCTGCTGGTAAAGTCCAAAGACAGAGATCTGAGAAGGTGAAAAATAATTCTTTGTGTCTGACCAGGTGCAATTAGTTGTATTTATTGGTAATAGGAATGCAGATTAAAAGTTGACTGGAAATGAAAGTGAATAGAGCAGCCTGGGTCATTGTGTGTGGTTAAATTTATTTGAAAATTAACTTCTCCTGTGAAAATTAAAAAAAAAAAACCTGATAAAATTGAATTAAGTGTTGAGATTTTTTTCTTGTAGTTCACTCAAAAAATGGAGAGAAATGGTCTGTGTGCCAAAGTACTTCATGCTACTCTCTGTTACGGCCTCATAAGAGAGAGTAAGCTGCTGCCAGGCTGTCAGCTTTTGCACTTTCTTTTCTACTCTTTCTCTTACACACAGCAATCATATGTTTTTCCACAATGTGAAGTCAAATATGTTGCCTCATCACAATTTGTGGCTGGAAAATTATGATGCTAACACAGAGATAACCCAATAAAACTCTTCTGCTGGTTAGAAGATGCTTTATCTTTGAAATAAACATTTCTATAAGAAGTTATCTGATTTGATGAAAATTGTAATGGGAAGTTTTTCAGACCTCAAATGATATTTGTAACCAACAATAAGAATATAAAGAAGCAGCTCTAGGATAATATGGCAGTCTGGTATACGGAAAGAATGATCATATGTAGTACAAATGCAATTTTAAAATTTTTTTAGAGAGCAGATTTAGTAATAATATTTTCCTGCTGCACTTAACTAATAGGAATCTGTCTTGTAGTCAGAGATTTCTGAGATGCACTCCACAGAGCAAGAAATTAGGCAGAAAATTTTAAAGACATCCGTGAATAGTCAGTCATGGAGGTCAGCATGGCTCCTCCCCTTCTGCTCTGCTCAAGTCCAGCACAGTGCAGTGCACTGGAACGTTTTCTTGGATTAACTAATCTGTGTTGGATCTTAAATATATGATTTAGTGCAGCTGAACAAGCTCCTGAAAGACAGCTGAGCCATGGTAAATCTTGCTTTTAGCCTGTGTCAGATCTGAGATCATTTAGCTTTTCCTGCCATGAAATTACTGGTAATACAATACAAACATATGCTTCTGTGGCAAAAAAGCTTATTTTAGAGACAAATTACAGTAACTTTTTTCTTTGTTTCTTTCTTTTTCTGTTAATACTGGTGGTTGAAACAACATTTTTTTGCCCTTTTTATCAGAACTCTCTGCAGAGGTCTCCTGTTAGTTTCTGCTACCATCTGTTCTTCTGTTTCAACAGCACAAAACATCAAATAGACCTTTTTTTTAAGCCATTGCCAATTTCACTGAAAGGAGTACATAAAAGAATCAGAACAGAATAACTGAGAAATTTACAAGAGGAAGAGTTGCAAAATTATGGAAAAGCTGTTATGTTTGTTGACAACTTTAAATTAAAGCTCAGATATGCCTTTCCAAGTAGGTGATGGTCGATTCTATTTCCCCCTGCAGCTGACACTCTGGATCTAACTTGACTAGAGTCAACCAAACACATTCCTTGGGTGCAGAGGAAGACTGAAAGATAGGAAGTAATTGAACATATTTGTCCTGGTTTAGGGCAAAAAGCAGATTCTTTTGGGTGACTCTGGTTCAATACTACCAAGAAAAATGGTATTGCCTTCTATATTTTTAGTAAGCCAAGAGAAGAAAGGTGTGGATCATGAAAGGCAAAAGCTTTAGTGCCAGACACAGCTAGATTATCTGTTTTTTTTGCTGCTGTTTGCTTTTGACCTTCTGGAATAAAGAAGAAATGAGAGAGGCATGTGACACCCAGATAAATATAAATTGCAGCTACAACAATTTGGTTGCATTAATTTTCTTTAAAAATCTGACTTTAATTTCTTCACTAATAATGTTAGTTATTGCTTAATAAAAAGGGTTCACCCCCAGGAAGGCACAAATAATTAGAGACTTTCCCCAAGGAAGATATTTAAAATCAATATATTCAAAGAGGAAAACTACATGGGAGGTCACTGGGGAGGTCTTAGTTTGGGATGCCGTCTATCTATCTGTGTCATACTGGATTATGTACATGCCATACACTGAGGGAGATTAAGTTTTATGATCTTACAAGGAAATAACTCTATAAGAAAAAAAAAAATGCTATTCAAAGGGCCAGAGAATTTGAAATGAAAAAAAGAAAAAAATAATATTAAAGCCAAGCAGTGTAGGTAATAATAGGATAAAGAAGTAAAAGGCTGATGACAGTCACATCACTCAGAAAAAGAGAATAAAATGTGAGAGCTTTGATGGACTTTAAAGGCAAAGGTGTTGGAGTGAGGGTAGTCAAAAAGACAGAATTTCTCATTTGTGGTGGGATTAGAGAGACCAAAAATACCAACTCCAACCCCCTTCTTATAAGAATTTTACAACCTCTGCTTGTTTTTGCAGTGATTTGTGTAAGAGAAGAATGAAAAAGGACTAAGTGAACTTGCTTGTGTGCATGAAGATCAAGGCCAGTAAAAAGTCGCTGTGCTGGTCAGAAAGCAGTCTTTAATGGCAAGATTTACTGGGATTGTGAAATCATTTCCCTGAAGGAAGCTGCTACAACAGACCCATTGCTTGCCCCATTTAAACAGGGCTTTCAGATGTGCTAGGGAGTCTTGTGTAGAGAGCAATCCTGCTGGGGCCATGATGTGCTGGCAGCCCTAATGCACCTTCCCTGTTCCTGGTTTCTGCTAACCTGCTACAGCCCTTTGTGTAGCCCAGTTGGTTTGGGAATAAATTTAGAGTACAATTTCTTTTGTCCTAACTAGTCTGGCTGCTTTTTGTGATCTTCCATTTCATTGCCTAAAGCTGCTTCATTTTGTCAATTGTGATTCATGGATTTCTTTAGTGTCCTCATGCTCCATTGTTAATGCATCAAGAGAATATATAGGCTTCCAGAACAGCTGGAAAAGAATAGTTCAATACTATTTCAGTCTCTTAACATTCCTTTGACATTGTGAGAATTATGGAAAGAGCCTTCAGATTCTTATTTCTGTTGCCAGCAGAAATACTACAAGACAGTTTAGACTGGAATTGGGAAAGTTATGATTTGTGATGCCACACTATGCCAAAAGAGGTGGGAAACAGCATTCACTGGCACCTGCATTTGATGCAAAAATTGAAAAGGAAGAGACTGGGTCATTATGTGCAAACCGTTTGTATTACAGCCTCAAGTAGCTGCTTGTGCTTCAGCTTAGGTTTGGAAGAAATAAATGAATCCCCAGAAAGCTGAATGCTGTTGGAGGAGGCCGTTAGATTTTCTCTCTTCTTACATCCTGAATGAGATGTTCTTAATAATACACCTGCTTATTCCACTCAGTACAAAACCATAAATGTCATCAGGGCTTTCATACAAGGAATGTATTCCCTGCACAACAATGGAGGAAGCAAAAAATGTGCTCCATGTCACAGTGATGAGTGTGTTAGAAAGCACTGGGATGGAGAGCCTGTTAAATGCAGCCCCAGTCAAAGCAGGGTCACAAATTTGTGGTGGTGGGTCAGCTCACACACTGATTTCTGCCATCCAGGAATATTCAGGCAACTGGATGTCTGAAGAAAGACTGCTTCTAAGATGATCATTGGTATTGGGTTGTGAACCAGCCCAGCCCAAGCCCAGCAGCAAGGAGCCAAGCCAAGACAAGTACTGCTGACCACAGCCAAGAGCAGCGGTTTGGAAAGTGAGAGATGCAACATGGATGATCTGGCCTTTTGGGGGTTTACCCATTATTTTTTTTCATTGTCTTAGGCCTGGGGCTGGGGAATGCCAGCTGTGGAGAGCACTCACTGTCTTCTCTTTGTCTCAGGAGACCACACAGCACTAGCTCTGGAGAGCACCTTCTGTCTTGTCTCTGTCTCGGAAATAGCTCGTGCCACTGCTGAGCTGCAGGAACGTTGCCACCTTGTTTTTGTCTCAGTGGCCAGGCAGAACTAAGCTCAGGTAATGAACACCATTTGTGTGTAAAGCACCTTCTCTTTCTCATGCTTTCATTATTAGTATTGTTGCTGTTATTGTGGGTTCCTTATTCTCCATTACTGTTTGCTTTCAGAAAATTTTTATGTCAATCTGTAGTCTCTGCCTTTGTCCCTCTCACCAGAGAGGGGTGGAGGGGGAGGGAGTCCCTTACCTGGGGCTTACTTCGCAGCTGGGTTGAAACCACCACAAGATCACTCGCTGAAGTACATGGAGCGTGTTAAGGATGTTCTTGTGTGCTTTAATGATCCTAGGGTTTACTGTATTGGCATTTTCTCCTCAGTTTGTATTAGCAGTTTGAAGATAAATTTTAGTAATTTTTATTGGTAGGGTATTGAGTCTTGGCTGCAAGAATGAGGGTCACTATAGCCAGAAGCTGTGAAAGTCAATTTTGACTTAACATCAACTCTGCTGCTTTAGCTCTGGGACTCTGCTGTTCCAGACACACATTTGTAGCAGACTGACTGGAGGGTTGTGAGGCAATTACAAGAGCACTTAAATACTTGGCCAAAGCTGCCAAACTATCATTACTTTCCATCAAAGCCAGAAACCCCAAGTGGGATGCCATGAGCTTGCAGGCAGGTGCCTTGTCTCACATATATCTCTATGCACAGTATATACAGTGCTGTACTTTTGTACAAGGCAAAAGCTTGATTTTCTTTCTTTTATTGCAGAAATTACTGATAACACTCACTGACGTTAAAAACATTTTCAAACTTGTGTAGAGGGTAGCGTTCAATGTTTCTGTAGGTTTTCTCTCTTGACTGTACTCAGTGATTATCCAGAGGTGTCTTCAAGAATCATTTTTGGACAATTACATGAAAGAAAGCTGGCAGATATGATAATGAATTGGCAAATGTTTTTATTCCTATCTTACATGGCACATACCCTCCATGGCTAACAGCTGGTTGAGATCCTTCCTGAACATGGTGACATCAGCAGCACATGGATATTTGTTTAAAGTTTACTGCTACAAAAGAATTTGGGTAGACACGATGTACAAGAGGGATAAAGGGGAAAGATCTGAGTAAGCATGAACTCTTCAGTGAGTGGTGCATTTTCTCTTGTGAGATGAGAACATGTTTGTGTTTAGAAAGTTAATTATTAACTGGAAGAGACTTTTATGGCAACACTTACCACATTTGTAAGGCAAACATAGCTAAATTCTCCTGCTGACATATTGAAACAGTGCCTTCCCCTCTCTGTGCCATCGTGCCCCATATGTATCTGTCTCCCAAAGAGTCTTAACTAGGACTTTCACCATGAAAGCAAACTCTAATGTTTTTGTGAGTCAAGGCATAATGACAATGGACTAAGGCATTAATGTGTTTAAGACAGATGATAATATCCTGCTGCTATATAAAAGGCAAAGCATCTATTGCCAGAATAGGAAAAAACACTGATTCTCTGTCTGCTGTTTTATTCCAAATGACTGAGATATTTCCATCTGATGATGTGGGTATGTTAGAGTGACAGTTTCCTTGTGTCTTGCATCTATTTTATTTCCTTGAGAAAGTAGTGTTCATTCTCACAGTACTGTACTGCTTCCATAATGGTATTGGCTTCCCACAAACAGAGTTTGACCTTAAAATCTATGTATTGTTCATCCCTCTTGTCAGGCTTGGTAGGGGCCCAAGATTATGGTTCTTATTTGTGCAGTGTCTTAAAAACAAACAAAAATAAATACTGGGTAAAAATTGTGGGTTAGGAAGACATAGTGGCTTTATTCATTTAGAAGTCTCAAGTGTTGGATCCTGGGTCATGCTCATTCATCTGCTAATGTTCTGCATGTGCCTCTGAACGCCTTTCTTATACTTTGAACAGTGCAAACCTCCTGCACTGAGATACTTCATTTTGGAACCTTAGTTGTCTGCAAAAAGACTCTGCAAACAGACTTAAAAGTATAAAAGTAAATGTTTATTAGATAAGACACCTGAGTGAGAGAGAGAATTTAGAGAACTACGAGGCAAAATGCTGACAGGCTTACCAGCTGATAAAGTACCCCAGGAGTCTTTCTTGACAAAGCAGGCATGGGTCAGGAGGGGAAGGATTGATTTCTGCTGCTCCCTCAAGCTAATCCTCTATGATCAGGAGGTTCCATTTTCCTAGTTTTTCCCTTAGGATTCTATGCCTTTCCACTTTGGGTTTTTTTCACTTGAACCTCTGAGCTACCTGCTGTCCCTGGCCCAGGGGTAATTTGCAATTTTCCCTTTCTTATCTTTAAGGTCATTTTTTTCTGAAGACTTTCTCACAGCATTTTCCAGAGATGATTTCCTGAGAACTCCATGCCAAGATGACAAAACGATGTCAGATCAGAGTTGGGTCTTAAATCCTTGGAGAACAAAGCTCCTTGCCACAGGCTGAAAGTTTGTGTATGTTTGAGATAAGATGGGATAAGTTCTTGCAAGAGGAGTCCATTGAGAATCATCGTATTCACAAAAATGCTATTTGGCTTCAGAGGTCTCTCAGTCTCACATTACAAAAAGCTTGCAAGAGGCACTGAGGAAATCACATTTGCTGCATTCTACTCCCTAGGTATTAGCAGAGAGTGACCTTTCATCTGATGTATCATGACTGCTCTTATAAATTTGTGTATAGTTGTGATTGCTCTGGGATAGAATAGGGACTGGTTTTGAATGTCCATTGCTGAAAACGCACTCCTTATTTAATATTGATCAGCATGAGAATGCTGTGGTTTAGGGGGACAGCAGTTATGGCCTCTCCTTTCTTCTGTTTTCACTCTATTGCTCAGGAGGTCATCAGTTCAGGTTTCCTTCTTCATATTTATGGATATTTGGGATCTGAGAGGGTAATCTTTAACAAGTGGTTTCTCTAAACTCACCATGAACACAGCCTAGACCCATCTCCTTTCCTCTGTACACCTTGGCACCCTCATTCATCCCCCCAGATGAACATGGAAGGGATAATGTGGAAGACTATTTTGTGGAAAGCACCTGGTCATCAGTGGTATTTTTATTCATATAGAATGAAATAATTCTGAAAGCATGTATGATCCTGATCTTGATTTTGTAATCCATAAAAATCTGTTCTAGCATTTCCCTGTCTCTCTTCCTTCCCTTAGTAAGACCTCCATTTTCTGACCACTGTCACAAGTGTTTCCTACACACAAACAGAACTCTTTTTAGAGATCCCTTGAGAGGATAGGGTAAACCTTTAAAGCAATGACAAAATATGCCACAAACTGTGGCATAACTGTGAACTCACTTGCTTATAATGTCCTGTTTTTAAGCTATTTGCACAATTCAGTAGAAAGCTCAAAAATTACTCCAAAAAGCACTAAAAGATTTCATATCCTATAGGCTTGACTGTAAAACTTCACATTTCCAGTCTCAATATAAGTGTTAATACTTCCTTTTCTCTTTGAGATTCACCACACCAGTGAAAATCCTAACTATTGTCAATAGAGTAGGTTTTCCAATGGTCTACACAATGTGAACAGAAGAAAGGAATGCAGAAAAGTGAGGTAGGGCTTGAGTCTATAAGTTAAATACCTGGAGACCACAGAAGAAAGTTCATCAGCACTTACAATGTTTGCCAGTATTTTCATTTTGATGACAATTGGCAATCCTACTATTTAGTTAAACTTCAGTGAAGACGCAAGGTACCCCCAGGCTTGTACCTCTAGCAGACATCTACTGATCCTCCATTGCCCTCCCTGTGTCTTATGGTGGGTTTGATCTGCACAGTAATTCTGTCAGCAAGGGTGGGTCTCCCCCCCCACCATGCTTTCTCTGCTGCCTCTCAGAGGATCTGTGAACTCTCATGAGATGTGTCAGCTGCGGCAGAAAATTCAGGGGAAAATGGGAGTCTTTGTCTGCAGTGACTTTTGCTGTGCCATCAATAGTTCCTTGTGACTGAGGAAAATGACTTGTGAGTGTGGAGGTGTATATATTATCTTGAAGTTATGGGGCCCAGTCTGGAACTGTGAAAAGGCATGAGAGAGAAGCATGCTTTCCTGGTGACCAGAATACAGCCTTGGTTCTCACCACAAAAAACATCTGCCAATGGAGAAAATCACTGTTGTTGTCAGGGTTCTTGTGAGTGCTTGCAGATGGGCTCTAGTATGTACAATGGGGCAGGTGACAGGGCCTGTGTCTGATGGTGCATTATTTTCCACTCATTAGGCTAAGTTCCAGGCTGACATTCCTTTACCTCACCATAAAAATGAGAGAATATGTACTTCAATCAGTTTGTGAGCTGTTCAGATTCTGTGGTGAAGCAAATCTGAAATAGCTTAGTCAGTGCCTTTTGTGGCTAACATAATCACAGGTATCAGAATCACAGTATTCCTGCATAAGCAGAGACAAATCTTGTAACCCAATGTTGCATATATGCACATCTTGTGGCTGTGGGGAAACACCTGGAAAGGTGGCCTGCTGAGATAAAGCTGAAAGTCTTGTACTTCCCAGTGCCTTGTAGAAAGAGGACTGTATGCTATCTCCCATTTTTGACCAGCTCACTTGGGGGAAAAAAAAAAGGAATAGAAAAGAATAGAATAGAACAAATCAGGATATTTCAGTTGTAAGGAATCCTCTGTTAGGCTTTTGCTACCATGTCGTTACTATGGGTGGGTGACAGAGTTTATGTGCAAGCCAAAGTGTGACGCTACTCCTCCATGTAGGGGACCACCTACCAACTTTCACTGCTAAACTAAAAATACAACAGAAAGCAGGCTTTTTTTGCTCCAACACCTTTTACAGACGACTGTTGCTACAACACCTGGAAAGCAACTTTCTTCCAAGTACTTATGCTCATCTTTTTCAGATGGAAACCAGAAGGGTTGAAAATCACATCTGAGCTTTGCACTTGAAAGGGACTGGGAAGTTTGAAGCCGCCTGTGTTGGATGGAGCTCATTAGCATTTCACTTGAATAACAGTTACTGTTATTCAAGGAGCCTTGTTAGTACTTCACGGAGAGAGTTCAGCCCCCTTTCTTAGAGCTGTGCTCTTTCTGCCATGCTTTTCTGCCTCTTCACTGGACTGGATGCTGTGCAATTAAAAGGCATACGCTAAGCAGATGTGTTGAGAAGGACGATCACTTTTTCCTTACTTAGAGCCACATTCTTGGTGTTTAAAATAGGAAAAGCAATGCCCTTAGTTTAGAAATGAGAGACTGGTTTGAAGATGTCTGTATCTTAGATTCATATGCTGAGCACTTAACTGCTGTTGACACAGGCCTCTTCATTTCCAGCATGGACTTGCTGAGCTTGGTGTGATGTGGGACTTTGGAGTATGAGGTGGTTTGCAGATGCACGTTGTTCATGACATCTGAGGTCAGTGTGTGTAATAGTCTCCATTGGTATGTTTGGCCCAGGATATGCTTTCCTGCTTCCCACTGCTGTGTTTATCTTACATTTTATGGCCTGATTTGTCTGTCCTAGATTTCCACCTTCCATTATGGGACTTTTTCTCTCCCTTTATAGTATTTCAAACTTTTTTCAGTTCAGCAAACAATTTGTTCCCCCCACTGTCCTTCAAATAAAGTTTTCCTTGGCAATCTCTGTAAGGATAAATTCAATAACTATTTAACTCAGAAGGATCCCTGAGGAGGAAGCCAAGAGTCAAATGCTACAATTATTCACATTTTGGTGAGAGGAATCAGACTTCTCAGGAATCATTTCAAACAAAGCGCTAACAGTTTATTCCTGCTGGGTGGAAGCAGGAAGTGTGCTGGAGGGAACCTGACAGCCTCCTGAGCACCATCAGGAAGCATGAAATGGATGGGCAAGCAGAGGAAGAAAGAGAGGCATTAGCAAAGAAAAATGTCTCATTTCCTCCCTGAAACTAATTGGAAAAATATGTTACTATTGTGGCAGTGGTAATTTCTCAAGGTGGCAATATCTGAAGCCTGTCCTGGTGTGGGGCTGGCCACAGGTTGGACCTCTACCTGAAATGTCTTTGATTTGTCTTTGATTAGTGAAAATTATAGTTGTTTGTTTGCAATATAAAAGGACACACACACACACGCACACATATAAATGTGCGTGTATATAAATGTATATATACACATATAAATATACCAACATATACATATGTAAAGTTTTCTTTTTTTCTGAGGATCTATGCTTCATTTCTAGTAATTCTTGGCTATACATACATTTACAGAATCCAACATAGCAGATTTTTTTATATTAAACAACTGTGCTTTCATTCTCTGCCTGTTCTCTCTTCTCATCCCCACTTGAGGGTAGATTGCTCCATGAAAATGTAGGCAGAGATGGAGGGAGAACAGAAGTGATGTAATCACATTGGTCACAATATTTTAGAATAAAAATGGAATTACTTATAAATACTGATGCAAGTTGTGGGCAAAAAATGGAAAGAGAAAGATTTTGTTTAACAAATCAAGGAATACAGACATCACCCACCCTCTGTAATCTTTGTGCGATTTTCATAAATCCACTCATGTTTCCTTTATGAGGAGGGCCAGCCCAAATTCAAATGTTGCTCGCCTGTGCTACACTAATTCCAATGCTTGGTTGGCACCCTTTAATAGCCTCTGTGCCATCAAAAACTCATGGTGTAACTCCTCTCTGTCACAGCCACTGGCCCTGAGATATCACCTTTCTTTGTACCAGGGAAAGAGCACAAGGCAAGAATCAGCTTGTGATTGCTGGGATTGAAAGGTCATTTCCTATGAACTGGAGAATTTTCTGCTCCTGGATGTTTCATACAGCCCCTTTATGCTACCTCAGCATCCCAGGTCTCTTGCACAGGAAGGGAGGGAGAGCTGAAGGGATGCAGGGAACGCATATTCCTGACCATGTGACATCTGGAGAAAGCAATGTTCAAATTCTTATGTCTAATTTCTTACAAAAGCTTCATTCAAAAATATTTAGTTTCAGATCTCTTCAATTATATTTTCTGTGCAGCTGATTCTAAAAGCAAAATGTACAGCCCAAATGTAATGCCCAAATGTAATCTTCTGAATAAAGGGATTGGCACTTGTGTCTCAGCAATCCGATTCAAAATATTCAGCTTCTCTGGATGTACTGAGTTATGTGCTATCATAATTTTCTTAGCTCTCCACCCTTGTGAGACAGACAAATGAAACTGGCTGTAATTTGCAGTTTGGTGTATACATGTTATTTAGACAAAACATTTCCATAAGGATATAGAGTGAAATCGTTAAATGAAAACATGAGTAGCGGACCATACCATATATCTAGGAATGTTAATATGTGGAGAGAAATGAAAATTACAGGTCTGGAAGTTTAATCTGTAGAGGTTTTACAGAAGCAGCAGTGTACTGAAAATTCACAAAGCACCTACCTGTGTTCATAGCATGGTTCTGCTTTTATTTGAAAAGGAGAAGAGATTTCAAGAGGAGATCAAAAAGCAAGTCTTTGTTGCAAACTTCCCACATGCACTTAGAAGCCAGCACCCTTTCAACACCTCTATCCACAGCAACTTTCAAAATTCAACTTATGTGAAAATTACAGAATACCTTGCAATAATATATCACCTCCCACTTTCCTCACTCTCTACTGGTAAGCGTGAGCACATGACACCCAGTGTAGAGCATGCAAATACACGAAAAGATGAATGAATGCTACAGGTATTCATAGACAAGCCTTATTTTCTAATATTCTATAAAGTCAATATGGAAGAAAACCCAGAAAAAAGTATGGATAGCTCAACAGCTGGGGAATTAGCAAAGTGCAACAATGATATTTCCTTTCTGTACTCCAGTGGCTATGTCACATCATCTAGAACAGATTTGGAGATGGAGATAAAGCTAGTGATTAGGATATTATCTTGGAAGAGTGTAGAAAAAAGATCTGACCATGTTAAAATATTTACTTGAAACCAGCAGACCACTGCCAGCTATGGCTTCTATTTTGAATCTGAATACCAGAGGTTAATAATTTGTAAACCATGCAGCAATTTCTCTCTATTGTGTTCATTTTAAGGGCAAACTTCAGGGCTCTAAATCAGCTGAATTGTCTTAGTGGTTGCAGTATCCTCCCATTTGGTATCTCTTTCCCCTTCTTTGCCTGAATGGATGATGTCCTTTCTGTTCTCAGTTTTGCATATCATTTACACAAGTGTGTGTTTTATACTTGCTCAGACATGAAGACATTGATTCAGTGTCTTGCATTCCCTAGGATTCACTGGCCATGTCTTTGCTTCTACAGATGGCAACAATGAGGTCCCTGTGCTGGACCCTGGCTCAGCCATCCAGCAAACAGCCAGTTTGGGTGTGATGTGGGAAAGCTGTCATGGATATTTGGAAGAGCTTTACCCCTACAGGTTCCTGGGCAGGCTGTACAGTTATTCTCTGCAGGCTGCAGAATTACTCTTTGCTCACCAAAGCAATTGCCTGGATGGAAAATGCAGGGAATAAGGTGGACAGAGAGGTGGAGAGACATCTTTGAGAGGGTCAGAGACATTTGCCTTCACAATTTCTTCTTCCTGTTTCTTTCTGTTATATGGTGAATCATCCACCAGAACCATGCTCTCTCCCAGAGACATTGCCTCTGCTGTGTGCTGATCCATGCTGATCTTCTTGTTTGTTGCACTGTTAGACTGAAAACACTTCATATCTAAAAGAATATATTGAAAAAGAAAAAAGGAAATAAAAAGAGAAAAAAGACATTTTGGGACACATAAGAAAAGAGGGGAACATCTGTACTGTAGTCAATTTGATTTTTTAAATCTCTTATAAAATTTTTTCAGTTACTTGGTTATACATTTGAGTGTTATTTCTACCAGAGAGTTCCTACAATCCCAGGTTTCCTGGGCAGCCTCCACTCTGGGGGACTCTGTCTGGGTATCCTGTAAAACACTTGCTAGTGGCCCTGCCTGCTAAAGGCAGCATACATATATGAAATGACTCTGCTTCTGTTTAAGGGCAACACTTAAAGTGTGGGAGATATGGAGAATAGACATTATTCAAACATATACAACATTTGTTGTGAATATAATTTTCTCTCAACTATTGCACAGTAGAACAGTGGGAAATATGAGGCCTTTCCTTAGGGTGGCTGTTGTTCTGATGTAAATGAAGCATAATATATAAATTTAAACAAAAAAAAATTTCTTTTTTAGCTCTGATGTCAGTTATTCCTTGTCCTGAAAAAAAAAAAGAAGGGAGGACAGTGATTATCGTAGTGAAGAAGGTTGCTTTATTTTTGCTAATGAAGGTTAGCGTGGATAAAATAAGGTGCTTTATTTTTCCTCAGATTACTCATAACTTTTTGCTATTCTTTCCTTATGCAACCAAAATCCAGCGCATCTAAGAGATGCTTCTGTCTTGCACAAAACTGAATTCAAATGTAGCTGGCGAGACATCAGTGCATCACTTAGCTGGCTGTGAAAAGTAGCAGGGGCTCTGAGATCCTGTCAGTGTTTAAGAGAGCAATGTGCTAAAAGAAAAATCAGTCAAATCCTCAGATTCACTATGACCCATAAACTGCCTGCCAGGAATGAAATGCCCACGGGAAGTCAGCAGAGTGTGCTTGTGTGTGAGTGTGTGTGTGATGAAGTCAGAAATACCCACACAGAGGGGGAAGCAGCTCTCAGAAGCAGCACTAACTGCAGAGGGGAAGGTCAGAGCCTTGGCTGCAGCCCTGCAGCATGTCCTTTCTGCACAGCTGGCACAGGCAGGCACCCCCATGAGAGGCACAGAGAGCACTCACACCAGCGTGTGCATCTGTGCATAGCACTCACAGGCACTGTCCTGCACCCAGGGGTCACTGTGTGACCCAGCTGGGAACTGAACACCCTGCACAGCACTGAAATCTGGTCCCAGTATCAAACCCCTCAAGTTCACTGCTCCTGGCCAGTCAGATGTCTGTTACAATAGCATTGCTGTGCAGAGCCTGGGTATGGAATATTTTCACAAGGGAACATTCATTTTCCATACCCTCTTATTCTCTGTCCAGAGTTTCCTAGAGCAAAAGGAGGGATGGGAGATCTTGACTTCACTACTGACAGGGCAGCTCAGCAGCCAGCAAATGAAATACTTTCCCTGGCCCTGTATAATTATCTCCATCTTGAGTCCTGGCCAGCATGACTCATCTACATCTCAGTCAGGGGACAGGCTGGAACTGGGAATGGCAGAATTAATTTATCACATTTTAATAGAGAGGCAGCTCGGGAAGGGAGGGACTAATGAGATACTTTACAAAGAAATTAGTAGGGTTCTATTACAGTGTCTTCCATGAGGCAGCTGCAGTAATGACAGATGGCATCACGCACGGCCTCCTGATACCTCCCTGTTCTTCCCTTCTCCCTCGGGGGGCTGCCCTCCAGTGCATCATCTCCTCTGATTATTTCCCCATTCCTGGAGTGATGGTGTCCAGCTCATGTACCTACCTGAGCTCAGGGTATAAAGCAACTGGAGGTGTGTTGCACTTTGCACAGGAATGAAGATTTCATAGATGAGACTTGTGAGATACCTCCCACCTCTGAGGGCAAAGGGAGAAGAGCTCATTTTTGCTTGTATTTGTCTTGATTATGAAGAAGAAGACCCAGGAGTCCCAGCAGCTCTGCTGACTCAACATTCACTCAGGACTCATTTGCAACGACTCAAAGGTCATTATTGAATATTTGGTTCAGCAATGCACTTAGGTAGGATTTTTTCCTCTGCATTGAAGGAAGCATGCGAGAACATAATTAGATTAAGTAGGTGATTAGGGCTTGTTGCCTTTAAAAGTACAAGTAGATTTTCCTGTTCTGTATTGAATCAGGTCAAAAGACTCTATTTCTTACAGGTATGTTAGTCTTTATCACCTCATTTAGGTATTTCTGACATTTTCACCTAGAAAGGTTTTTTTGTTGTTTTGCTTGCACATTTTTGTCTCCAAACATTTTCTGAACTTTGCTTCAAATGAAAAAATTTGAATGGAAAAAAGAGTTCTTTTAATTATTGAAAATAGTAAATTCAATTCAAACCTCACAGGTTTCAGATGTGGCACTCAAGTCTGATGCAGAAATTCCTGAAAGACAGTCAAACCTATCCTCAGTTGTGCTTCAGCTTGCTTACCTAAACAAATGCCAAGTTTTCTCTTTGGTTTCAACATTTATCTCCCATGTGCTCAGCTTATATCACAGTGCATTACAGAGTCACAGTTTAAACTCTCTTTCCTACCCATCAGGCATCATGCAGAGCTTTGTAGTGGTTAAGGAAAACAGATTTTTGTGTCTACAGACAGAGTAAACTTCTGGTGACAAAATGACCTAATCATCTCTAAAGTCATTAGCTTCAATTCTGTATCAATCATTCCATATTGCTGGATAATAATCCTTAATTATGAGCTGCTCCTGGTGTTAGCACTATTTCCATTTAAATGTACATATTTCCTGACCTTTTGCTTTCTGAGGAAAGGGAGAGCACTTCTTCTTTTCAAAGTCAAAGAAGGGAGGCCTCCTGTCTTTGTAAGCACTTTGGAGCCATTTTCACCCCACCAAAAGGTCTCAGGCACCCCTGGGAAGAGCAGGTGTTTTCCCAAGGCTGGACAATGCTCTGGACTGGTTGGTCAGAGCACGATTCCCACAGAAATTTGGCATTGCAGACACATCAGTGCTGGTGGGGTGTGCAGTGATGATGCTGCAGGAACCTGCTGCTTATCTATCAGTACAAGCCAGAGCCTGGGCAATCAGCATGCAGAGGGGTTCATTGTGGTGGAGTGGAGGAAAGGCTAAACATCTTTGGCCTCCGGTCTTGAAGTAGATGGGACTCAGCTTGAGTTTTAAATGCAATCAGGCATTTCTTAAATATAAAACTTGCTACAATCCAGTGACAGTGTATTTTGAATTACCAGGTTTGCATTTTTTTTTAAATTTTAATCTTTCTGTCTGTTGTCTCATTCCTCCATTATCCTTGCTCATAGTTTTCTCCCATTCTCAAAGGGGATGAAATATTTAGTATTTTTATTATCTTTATATATATATATATATAAAGATAATAAAAATACTATATATATATATATATATATATATCTGCATTGTTTAACATGTCCATGGAGAAGAAGATTACTGTCTCTGTCTTATTTTGATTGGTGTGTTTTGTTTGATTTTTTTCTCCAAAAGCACACAAAAATGTATTAATTACAAAGAGGTAATTTTTCTTTCGAGAGATGCTGAAAGAAATGGGGCATTCTCATTTGGGGCAATCCCTGACTCTCAAGTCAGGGTGCTGACTTCTTTCTCTTCAAACTTAAATCCTCTTAAAATCAATATTGTTATCAAGGAAAAAGTACAACAGCGAATCTTTTTCTGCTAATGCTTTTTGGCAAGGTAGGATGAAGAAGAGGAAAGGTAGTTCAGTTGCCATGGCACCTCACAGACTAGACCCTGTCACCAGGATGCTGACTGTGGCCATGGCTCACTCTGACATAGCAACACCACCTGTTTAGTGGGAATGGTGCTGGGAATATGTGACATGCTGCAAGTGTTTCACCTCCAAATCATTCTGGCAATGAGAACTGTGGTTACCATGTGCCACATTCATTTCTGATGTGGTGATGGTGGGGTTTTTGCTTTGTGGACATTGAGTTTGCCCACAGAAGGTCCAAAGATAGGAATTTGAATTTTAGACCCCATTATTTCTTCAGTGAAGTGTCCATAAACTTCTGATGTTTGTATTTTCACTGTATATACATGATTTTATGTATATATTTTTGTAGAATTTATATTTTTGTCTTTGTGTAAGGTGAGCTTCAGAAAATCTGCACTCCTTTACAAGTATTGTCCCTTGAAAAAGAAATCTTTAGAAAATGTGTAAAAAATCAGTTCAGAAAGAAATAATTTGGGTCAAAGAGGTGACTTACAGGTGAATGGAAATAAGTTATTATAGGAAAACCTATAGTTAATTATGTTTTGTTTGCATGTAAGTTCAATTTTCCATGGTGGTGAATCAGGAGAAATAAAAATAATTTGTTAGCTTCCTGAAGACAGTAATATGACTCTTCACTTTTTTTTAAGAAGCAAATGAGAAAACTTTTGATAGAGGAGACTGTTTCTTTTTTCTTCATGGACATCTGCTAGCTCTAGACTCAACAAACAAATATATTAGCATCTCCTAAGCAGTAACCTGAAACATAGGACTGGGTAGGTTAAGGAAAGAAACACATTTCTTTGCTCTGTTATCTTTGAAAAAGTAATTAAATACACCAGACTGTTTACACATTTTCTGAAAGTGATTCCATCAGTAAATTTACTTTATTTCTTTTCCATGTTTTTCTTTGTCAGTTTAATTTCTGTTATAAAAATCTTGTGAGTTATAAGGAAATAGCATACTTCTGGAAAAAAAATTATCATGTTCCTCAATTGGTATCATTACTTCAGTTGAAAAAGGAATAAAAGGTTTTCAACTTTACCACTTATCTTTAACTTAAAAGTCAATGAAATCCATTTGAAATAATGGCTTACTGTAAAAAACCCTGCAGATAAGTGGATAAAATGTTACAGAAT